TGCTTTAATTTTGTCGAAAAACTCCTTAACCATGATGATACTGAATTTGAAACTAACATGACTATAATTATCTCGAATTTCTCTTTAGTTGGCCTAAGCTTATTTCTACATTGAAAGAATATTCAATATTTGTTTAGGGATTTACTAATTTTTTTTTTTTAACATTTACTAATTCATCTAATAACAAATATTTATTCATTCACTTTGTTTGTATCTCTCCTCTCTTCCATTCCATTTCTTCGAGTAAAAAAATAATTTTATTGACTGAAATGTATTTAAAATAATAAATAAATTCAAATGTGCAAGTCATATAATTAAAAAAAAAGGAAGGAGAAAAAAAAATGGAGGGGAGTCATTTTATTGACTCAAGGATATGCATACACGTACCCATCACGCAATCGCAGTATATGAAAGCAACACATATCAAGCTGTGCAATCACTTGTGGCCGCGTGGCATTCCTGAAATATTTGAAAATTGAATAGGCCTTCTTGAACGGTACTTTAATTCTTAATTTATACCCCTTAAATATTAAAAAATTTAATTTGTTACTTAATTTTTCGCCATAAATTAAAGTTCCTGAGTTACATGTGCTTCAAGTATAGACATATGATTAGCCTCTATCCAATTATTGAAGTCTTTATTTTGATACACAAAAAAAAAATTAAATACAAAGAGCAACAATAATAGATATACCTCATCCTTACGGCTTAATCACCGGCACTTCACGTACTTTAAATTTAAGAAAAAAAAAATTAGCAACATTTTGAATCAGGTCCATGTTGTCATTAATTTATAATAGTGAGAATGTAAATTAAATTTTTTAGAGTAATATTATTTGGACCTAAAAATCTGATTTAGTATAACCATTGAATCAACATCAAGTTCCAATGTTTGATGGATCCCACAATCAATGTAAAGATCATAGTAAATTAGGTCAACAAATTAGATCAATAAATTAGGTCCCAATAGCATTGCTCAATTTTTTAATGTCCAAAGTATAAATTAAGAATCGAAGGGGGGTGCAAAGTGAGAGTAGCCGAAAGTTTTACCGACTTGCAATATGGGACAACAATCCGCATTGCCTTCGCGGAGAATCGCAACTCCTTTTCCATCGGATTCTCTCTCTCTCTCTCTCTCTCTCTCTGTATTTTCGGTTCCGTTTTCGATCTTCAGGTGCAGAATCCAATCTAACGGAAATAGAGAACAACGATGCAACGGCTCGTTGACAACGTCCTCGCTGTCATCAAGGAGTGAGTCTCCCTTCCCTCTCTTTTCTCGTATCTTCTCTTCTTTTCTCTTCTCTCTACCTTGCAGTCCGTATATCTACGTATATGTACGGGTGTAATTATGTGTGCGCGTTATATTTATCGGGTTGGTGTTGATGTTGATATGAATAGCATTCGATTATGCATTCTGTTCGACGAAATTGACGGTTCCCCAATATATTTACGATCAATTGTTTTTGTAATTTTTCTTTGCCTTTTCTTTTGGGTTTATTTTTTGAGTGTTATTTTGCCAAATGAATTACGATTCAGTTTAGTAATTTTTGAATTTGAATTTCTATGCAATATATGGTCACCAGGCATATTTGTTATAAGTTGTTCCGTTTTGGGTCGACATGTAGTTTGCGAATGATTATATTATTCGGGTCAACCAGTTCACATTCCCATATTTTCTGATCGAGTTTTAAAATTCTGTTCTTCATGTTGTGTTGGGCCAGGTCAGTGAAAACGGTCACTTTTGAGTCCTTGAACAATATTGTGAGGCTGATAAATGGAGTGTCAGCACTGTTGTTGGCCATTTTGCCAGGGAAGGCTTCCATTCTCGAAGGTATGCATGGTTGGGAGCTCAGGCCAACTTTTCACAGACCTCGTCTTCCACATTGGATGGAGAAGTAAGTTTATACCATTTAAGTGAGTTCGTTTAAATGGGTTTGCTTCTGTATAGTAATCAAAATCTTCATAATAAATAGATAAAGTCCATCTTTGATAAATAACATTGAATCTGTTTTTATTTGCTCTTGTATATTAGTCAAAACCAGGATGATAAGTTGGGACATTTCCTTCTGTGTTTTATCATGCCATTTCATGCAAAATATTTGGTTTTATTTATCTTTGATAAGTATTGGCAAATGCATCTAGAATCTAGACATTCCTTCATTTGGTTTTATCCATTGTTCAAACATCTCGATATATTGACATTGAACATCTTTGATTGCATTGATTCATCTGGAAAGTTTGCTCATTGTACTTAGATAATTAGATTCAAGGCTTTTGTTTTAATTAGGTATTTTCTAAACTAATATAGTATGGAGAGTAAATGCATGGATGAACAAATTGGTTATGGAGCGCAAAGAAAGCGTTGCAGCAAATAAAGGGTGAAACTTTATTTTGGCCAGTTTTCTTATGAAATGAATGCGGTCTCATAAACCGTCCAAAGACTCACCTTCGATATTCAAAGTTTCTTGCATTCATTTTCTTCCAAATAACTCAAAAAATAGCAATAATAGTACTATTCAAAATAGGCACTCCTTTGTCAATCTGCACAAACAAGGATATAGATGATGAAGGAATCAACCAATTCAAGCCCTCCAAGCTAAACAAATTATGCCACAACGATAAAACAATGGGGTTGTGTAAAAATAAATGATCAATGCTTTCATAATCTCTCTTGGACATCAGACATCGTTAGTATATCATAAGTATTAATCTTATTATGTGCAACAGTCCATTTAAAAACTTGTACCTTAATTTAATAGGTATTTTGGTCGTTTAATCAACACCAAGAAAAAAGAGGACAAAAAACATCAATAAGAGAATCAAAGAATGATTTGCAAGAGAAAGCATCCGAAGTCTCAATGACCACTTTCTTTTATCGCATGACCCTTGAGTCAACAAAGAGTCATTGAGAATAGCAAATAATAACATCAAATCTCCCACCATGTCTCTATCATCAATGTTTGTATGACATCCAAAATCTCAACAATACAGATGACTATACAATTATGGAATATGTGAGATGTTTCTTGCCATGCATATTTTAGTCATATGCTTGAATGGGTGGAAGAGTTTTCATAGGGGGAGCTATATTATACTGACAAAAATTGAGTGATTTGCCTTTGGAACAATAAGTCTTTCGTCCGTGCCACTAAAAGTTCTTGGAGAGGTATTACAATTTGTCATTCTTTTCGTGTATTTGAGAATATTGCTATTCTACATACTGAATACTAGCGATAAACTGTGACCATCTAATACAGTAAGAAATGAAAAGTAGAATAACTACTCAAGAATAATTGGAAAAACCATACCATTGACCCAAATTATTGACTAAATCTAGTCCATAACAAAAAAAATTGGTAAAAAAGTGGCATATTTTTATCGATAGATGTCCAATTACCCATGTATCTTCTATCAAATGATGTAGTAAAGCTATAACTAGGACAGGGTCTAGGCTAAGAGGACAGGCACGGAACAAAGATATGACATGACACGGACACGTAGACACGACATTTTTCAAAACAAAGGATTTAGACACGTTGAGGATGCGCTATCGATAGTTGTGTTTTACATATAAAATTATATAATTTATCACAAAAATATCATGATAATGATATATTATTCATAAGAAATTTAGTATTTTATGATAAGTGATTGTTATGTCTAGTTATCTAGTGTGAATTTATACTAAAACATCATAATAATCAATAATCATCAATCATTTTTAGACGTGTACCCGACATATATAATTTGAATGATTGTTATTGTTTTATGAATTTCTCATTTTTAAAAATTTTATACATCTTTTGCTTTTATTATTATATTTTGAATATGACTTTAAAATGTCTAATATTTGTAATTATATGTTTTGTCATAATATAAGATACTTATAGTCAAAATTTTAAGATTTGTTAATCACCGATCAACGCATGTTTGTTGTTTAGTAGTAGGCATAGTCTAAAAAAGTGTTTGACACATCACCAAAGAAGTATCAGACATGTGTCTAGTATTAAAATTTTATCATTTAATTATAGATATGGATAAAATAGTATCGGACAAGTATCTGAGAGTTTCCGAAGAGTGTCGGTGTCTGACATGAATACATTACCTTATTGAGAGTGTTTGTGCTTCATAGGGCCGAGGTTGTATTATTTTCCAAAGAATAAAGTAAGAAAAAGACTTAAACCAAGACTAGTGAAAGCAATAACCAAAAATAACCAGCAGCTCAACTGGATCCCTATTTTCTTCCAACGTCTTCTTCTGTGATTTTTTGCTAGGATTGGACTTTAATCATGCTTTGATACCAAGTTGAAATATTAAAGTTATGATTTTAGGGTTTGGGAAATAGAAGAATAGAAAAGATGAGAGAGAGAAGTTGTGGAAAAAGGTAGTGACCTTCTCATTCCCACCCTCCTCAATATTTTATTTCAAGAATATTCAAAAAATTACAAGAATGCCCATTATTCTAATTTCCATATATTCTAACACAATTAAGAGTTTATTTTGTGGGAATTGGGAGTAGCACTTCACTATAGATGACTAGGATGGAACCCCCTTTCAATTATAAAGAACGCTTTCTCTTATGTCCTCGCATCGCAAAAAAAAGATTTGTTCGCTCCTATGAAATGAAGCATTTTTTTACCTTCAAAGACTGCTAAAATGTTTTAGGTGAATCTTATTGGCACGCGTTTTCTCTCACCCCCAACTTTATTTGCACATGTTTTAAATGTTCTTAGTGGTAGTATTAGTGGAGTTAGATTTATGAGGGCAATAAAGTAGCAACTACAGTGTAGAAAGATGGTTGGAGGATGTAATGGAGCTATCAGCTTATCTACGTTTCATTAGCTCCATTTTTTGTTTCTATTTTCATTCATTCCTGTTGTTTTTTCGATTCTTTTTTTATTTCTCTTTTCTAAATGTAGCTTCATAGATTATAATAAAAAATCATTTTGTGGCACAAAATCAGTTCTTCCCTTAGTTTATGTTGGAATTTCTTTCTGCAGACAGTGGAAGTGACATATTATGTATCTGTGTGCTGGATCAATCATGTGACAGTGGAAGACTGTTGGGGAAAGTTGGAAAATCACATTTGTAAAACTTATGTCTTTGAGAAAGTACCAGTTTTTATACCATGGTCTGGGATAACTCCTAAAATTTTTCTTTTTTTTTCTTAATTTTTTTTCATGTTTGTATGTATGTTGGTAAACAACTTTCTCTCTCTTCCGGTTCTTCCCTAAAATTTATTTGCTCAACTCTTCTCCAGATTATGTGAGTGTGCATATACTTATACAGGTGTATTTGAGCACACACTGACACTCCTCTCTTTTGTAACTAAATACACATATGAACAGGTTTCCACTCCTCTCTTTAATTTAAAAACAGTTTGCACTTATATATTTGCTTATACATGAGTTTCAGATGCTGATGTGTTAATTTGTTTTTGATATAGTGGCGTGTCATCTTTCAACCACTTCATTCATGAGCTGTCTGTGGATTCTGATACGTCCTCAAGCATAGATTACTCTTCTGGAGATGAAGACACTGATGACATGTGTCCTGCATCCCCCTTGTCGCAAAGTTCCCGAGTCTCTAGGGCACGAAGTTTTAGAAAGCATAATGGGCTATTGGCACATTGGATCAGATGCATTTTTGCATGGCTTCTGTTTCCTGCAAAGTCTCTGCTGAGGTTACCATTTTATCTCTATCATGCATTTTGTTATAGGGGCTCAAGAACACTTAATACCACAGGAAGCCCTCAACCTTTGTATTTACATTCTACCAAGAGAGCACACACCCTCAAGGACCATGTCGTTCAATGTGCGACTGACAGGAGACGTGGAGTCATTGAGGTTTGCTTAGATATGATTTTCCATTTTCAATTTACATTCATAGACTGGATTTGTTTCCAATTCTTACATCATTGTGATGTTAAGCAGGACCTACATCTAGCAATTGAGATCTTTATAGAAGCTGTATTTGATGTTGTTCATAAGGCAGCACATTGTCTTCTTTCACCATCAGACACTCTCAGAAAACTATCGAGATGGCTTGTTTGTCCTCGCAGTAATGTCAACGATATTCCTGCTTGTGGTTCAGATGCATCTGTCTCCACTGCTACTCTTGCAGAGAATGATCCAATTCCTAGAGAACGGAAAACCACTTTTCATCATTCTCTGAACACAGATGCCCGGACCTGTAGAGATGTCATAACAGAGCTTGGGTAAGAATTTTATTGTTGATAATTTTACTGTACTTGGTGCTTATTCTTTGAGCCAAGTTCACTTGTAAGAATGTCCACTTGCTCGCACTACTGCATGCACTTGGACTTAGATGTGGACAAAAATATAAATTATACATATTTTTGCTCCTCCATGGGTAGAGAACCAAAATCACATCTATCAGACCTTATTTAACGCACTGTAATCTTTGAAGGTACTGATGTAATCTGGAAATCCTGTTTTTCCCAAGAACTTGCTCTTTGATTTTAACTGGCCGCAGAGGTGTCTAAGTTATTTTTTCAATCAAGATTTACAGGACTCTGAGGACCGTGTTTTTTTGAATTTTACTGCTGGTGGATGGTTGTAAATAAATTTCAATGCTGTCATTCTTATTTTCCCGGTAATTAAATAGTGGGGTTACTCTTTCATATTATACCTGAGAGAATTGCCACCAATATTAGTCATTGTTACTCCAAGTACTTCGCCAGAAAGCTTTGGGTTTCTTCCCATTGACTTTCACCTTGTTAGTCATGGGTTGCATACCTTGGGGTGCCATTTTCTCCCTGTACCTGTTTAACCCATTGAAATGGTTTGATGTGTATTTGATTGAACTTGCATTATTCTTAGGGTTAGTAAGAAGGCGATTTCCCCACAGTTATAGCCTATTGAAGTCTCGGCTTTTCTTGCTCTTGTTATCATGTCTTAGTGTGAATCTCCATTTGTGGGTGTGTTCTTTGTTTTTAGTGTTTTTCTTTCTTTTTTTTGCTCTCTTTTTTTGGCTCATTAGACTCGACTTATCATTGACAAACAAATCAGCATCAAACTCGTTTCATGAAATGATGGAGCAATCGACTGATGAAATCAGGAAATGATACTTATAATTAGATAGGAGTAGTTATATTCCACATTAAATAGAATAGTTTCAATCTGAAGATAGTTTTCATGTCTACAGTCTGATCAATTGTGAAATTTAGCTGAAATCACAAGCTATTAATCCAAGCTAGTTTTCTCCAAATCTCAGTGCCTTCGTTCTGAGCTGAGCAAATTCAGTGTAGTGTCATACTTTTTGGCACTTCTATACACAATTCGTATGCACCAGAATTGAGCAGTTGCTTTGAATGTAAAATATTTGTCTAGTGTTTTTCAACGTCACTTAATGGTTTCTCATCACCACCCCTTTTAGGTACCCATATGAAGCGATTCACGTGACTACTGCTGATGGATATGTTCTCCTTGTAGAAAGAATTCCAAGGTATGAGTATTTTCTTATCTTCTTGGGCAAAATCGACATTGCACACTTATTGATTGCCTCTATTGCGCATAACCCCCCTTCAGGTGAAAAAATATGCACATAATCTCTATCAGGTTATGAATTAAAGTGCAACAGTTAGATTTTCTAATAGAACCAATGGTTAAACATATAAGTCAAAATGTTAACTAAAATCATGAGGCAAGATGAACTTATTATGCCTTTTTAAAAAATATATTTTGTTTTTTTTTGTCATGAAAATCAATATCTTTGTTATTTTTTTGTAGAAATATTATATCCAGGTAATGATCAAATTATTCTAAAGAGACAAAAATAGGCTAAAGAAAGTTTTTGGCATGAAACTATCACTTCGGTTTGATGTTGCACTCTAATCCCTTAATATAGGGATGTTATGCATATATTTTTGAAAGACGGGAAGGTTATGTGCAAGTTGACGATACCATAGGGGTAAGGTGGATTTTTCCCTTTGTTATTTTCTCCATATTAGTTTTCCCATTAAAGATTTTTATTAAACTTAGTTTAATAGATCATGAATGATTCTTGTAATTTGGGGTTGCAGACGTGACTCACGGAAGGTAGTTTATCTACAACATGGGATATTGGATTCGTCTATGGGGTGAGTTTTACCTTTTCATAACCTTCTTGGACAACTACGGGTTGTATCACTATCAAATAATGATTTGTAGGAAAACATTATTGGATAAATCTAACTAGGGATTAATCTATTTGAATGGAAACATATGGTTTTCATCAACTAATGTATCAAAGATGTAGAAGGATCAATTTTACAAAGTATCTATTTGAATTGGAACTTATGGTTTTCATCAATTATGTATCACAGATGTAGAAGGATCGGAAATGTTGGAAAAAAAGATCATGGAAACGTTTTAGGTTCTAGGAAGAAGAAGCACTAAAAAGTTACAAAACCTTGTTTGGTTGGCCCAATTTAGTTCACACTGACCAAGTGTGATGTGAGATATGGACTAGGTATAAAACATTATCTTTGGCAATATCTACACAAAGTGGTTAGTTTCAGATTTGGAACCATAAGGTAACTATTAGTAGCCCGAGTATTTTTTCACTAAAAAGAGTGCATAATCAGATGTTATTTGTTAATTTCTTTACTTTTTAATGACAATATTTATTAACTTAGATAGAGCATAATTATGGATCTCATAAAACTTCTCATTGTGCTGCCTCAGGAGATGATGTGAAGGATTTGAGGATAGGAGTATTAATTAGTTATGTTGAGATGTCTAAGGACATTTGTGATGTAATGGGAGCCATATTTAGTACATTGGGAGAAGACAAATGCCAATTTTAGTAACAAGGCTCACACCGTTAAGACTCAAGAGTTCTTATTTTATATTATTAGTAGTGTAGGACAATAATGTAATTACTCATAATATCAGTTTATTATAAATAAGAGAGTAAGGGCAACATAGCCTGAATGAAAGATTATTCTCTTTCTCTTCTTTTCTTTTCCTCATTCCTCTTTCCTCTTCTATTTTTATAAACCCTAATTCCGCTTCTATGCTTTCAACTTAGTATGAGAGTATTGATCTATAAGGTAAAATATCATAAAAAAATACATCGAAGACATCCGGACAGAAAATCCTTATGGTTCAATTACTGACGTTCGCGTCAGAGGGATGATGTCATGCTAACGTTAGCATGACGTTAGAATTTCCAGCAACTAGAATTCATGACCAAGCTCGATTTTTGGTGCGAGTATTTATGGTGATTTTTGTTTAACTTTTTTGAAATTGTTTGAATGGATTTTTCGATTTTTGAATATTTTTCAAAAAATACTGCTATGATTTCTCGATCTCTTGTTTTTGTGCAATTTGGGGATTTTTGATGCTTTGATCCTAACCTGAGAGCTCTGATTAGATGGTAAGGCTTATTTTGGGTGACATACAACTGTTTTGGTCTATTTGTGAAGGATTTCTACCTGGACAGTAGTTCAGTTGTTGTAACAATGACGATTTCTTATTTTTGCCCCTGTTTCAGCTTCTTTTTGGTCTATGTATGTACATGTTTTTGCTATTGGGTTATGCTTGGGTTGTGATTGTTGATCTGTGGTGGCTTCTTGAATCAATTCTCTAGTGGTTTGGTGAATATTTGATTGTTGATCTATGATGTCGTATTGATTCTAAGGCATCCAATCCTATTTAGTTATTTTTCTATTGCTTGAAGTTGTGATCAAGTGTCGGCATTGTATTGCGTTATTTGTTGGGTTATTCTTTTTGGTGATTTCTTGCTTATGAGTAGTGATCTATGATGTCCAGACCTATTTTGGGTGGTTTGTGTGTGCTTTGTGATTGAAATTCATACTCGCCATTCATAGTGAGATTGTTGTTCATCATCAGTCTATTTGCGGTTCTTATTTTTGCATTCTACTTAGATCTTTGGCCAGATTTTGTATGATTGCTAATCATTGGTGGATTATTAGGTTGATTGGGGATCATTTTTATTTTTTTTGAGCTTGTGGGTTCTCCATGACGATTTTGGGTGGTAGACGTGGTGGTAGTTCTAGTCATGGTCATCGTTCTGAGTGGAAGTGTACTTATTGGGGTAGTAGAAGACATACTAAGTTTTGTTGTTGAGATAAGTATGTGAGACCAATATATGTTAATTAGGCTCTTAAGGATACTTCGAGTTCTCTAGTACACCTTAGGAAAGTACATATATTTCTCGGAGGGGTGCCGTGGCAGTTTCGGACACATGTTGGACACGACTAAAAGTATCTTCAATAGTGAACTCAGTCGGACATGGTCATGGATTTTTTTTTAATAAAAAAATGATTGTTAACTATTAAAAGAGACGTCATTTTTATATTTTTGTAATATATTTTTTGTTATATAACTTATATATTATGAACGTTAATGGATGTAATGCTACTTGAGAAAATGGTGTTAATAAAAAAAGTACTATTTGCTAGGTCTTATTATTAATATTGTTATAATATATGCTTTATTTTTAATATGTTATAGCTCTATTATTATCTAAAAAATATATTATATTATTTTAATTGTCGTACCCATGTCTTATATTTTTGAACTTTGTCATATCCCGTATTGGTACCCTTGCTTCCTAGTTCCCAGAGCACATTAGACTTCTATCAATGGATTAGTTGTATCTACTACTGATTCTCATGATGATATTTCTTCTCAATTTCATCAGCTCATCCAACTGTTTTCTTCACTTTTTCTACTTTTACCTTTTCTTACTACCGATATTACTAATGGAGATAACTCGGTAAGAGTGGTTGCTCAATCTTCCTCGTCACCTTGGATCATTCATTTAGGAGGTAGTGCTCATATGTTTAGTATTTCTTTTCTGTTCTCTAATTTTTGTTCATTTAATTTATTTATTGTATTAGCTGATAGCTCATTTTTACCAGTACATGGGGTAGACAATCTCCATCCTAGTCGATCTATGCCATCAACTTCTAGTTTGTTTGTTCTTGATTTTTCCTTTAACTTATTTAACTTATTATTTGTGATTTCACTAAGTCATTACAATGTTCTGTAATCTTCTCTCCATTCTCTTGTGTTTTTCGGGACCTCAAGATAAAGGAAAAGATTGGTTTAGGGCATCAGAGCAATGGCATGTACTACTTAGATCCTGGTCATTCTGTTTCTGCCTCGAGTGTTAATGTGTTTCCTCTTCAGTGGCACTTCCGACTGCGTCATCCCCATTGCAAAAGTTGCGTCAAGTTATTCCTAATTTGAGTCTTTCTGTGTTAGAATGTGAGACTTGTTAATTAGGCAAGCATCATTGTAGTTCTTTTCCTCCTAATTTTTTAAAGTTGTCAGTCCAATCCGTTCCATGTTATTCATGCAAACATTGGGGTCTTATAAGAATAAAAAATACTTTTGATTTTCAATATTTTGTAATATTTGTTGATGATTTCTCATGTATGACTTGGTTATTTCTTATGAAAGACATATTTTAATTGCCTAAAATTTTTACTACTATTTATAATGAAAATTTGGTTCAGTTTGACATACATATTAAAGTTCTCCAGTCTAACAATACCATTGAGTATGTTCAATCGTTTATGAAAATCTTTTGTATTGACCCTGACATTATCCATCAAATTACCTGTTGGTGTTGTTGAACGTAAATATTGCTATGTCTTAGAAGTTGTCCGCACCTTGATATTTAACATGCATGTACCAAAATCATGTTGGGTTGATGTTGCTCTTACTTTAATTTATTTTATTAATCGCATGTCTTCTCCTATTTTGGCTCATCTCCTTGATCCGGGTCGGGTAAACTTTCGTCTCGCTTAATTGTCTTTTTGGGATATTCTCATATTCAAAAACCTTATTGCTACTATGATCTTGTTTCTTACCGATACTATATCATTGAAGATATTATTTTTTGCATCAGGAGATATAATTTTTCCTGATTTAGGGAGTTCTTGTTGCCTATTATACCAACTATGTATCTTCTTCCTCCCCCCTTACTACTCCTCCATTGTAGATTTGTCGTCGTTTCCAGGACGGTCAAACAAAGAAAAGAAAAGAAGAAACACCGACCAAAAGCCCTTGGAATCTCTTTCTTGTTGATGTAATAGTTGAAATTTGAATAATTGTATAATAGGGTATAGAAAAGAAAGGAAGAGGAAGCAGAGAAAAATAAAAAGATTATGAAATAATATTGTGTAGGATGTGAATTGCCAACACCTTATTGGAAAGAAAGCTTGTATCACACATCGAATGATTAAAACCACCTAAGGTTGATTTATATGGTTAAGGGGCCTTTCCAGTCATTGCCAACGGTTTGAGTTAGATGATTTAACATGGTATCAAAGTTGGAACTTGGGTGATCTGTGAGTTAATTTTTAACCCATATGCATTTTTTGATATGCATGTTTATTTTTTTTATTTGGTAGCTCCACGTGCAAGTCTAGTCCCACGTGAGGGAGGAGAGTGTAAAGAGAGCTTATATCGCACGTTGAATGATTGGGACCACTTAAGGTTAATTTATATGCTTAATGGGCCACTCCACTCAATGTCATTGGTTTTAAATTGGATGCTTTGACACCTCACACCTATTTATATTAGATAGATATTGGAAACCTAACAATAGACAATTGGAAAGTAACACAACAAGAACGTAGAAAAATATAAAAGTAATACTCTAACTCTCTCCCTCAAGTTAAAGCTAGAGATAAAAAAATACCTAGCTGGGAACAAAGGCTATTAAAGTTGGACCACATCAATGGTTTGGTAAGAATATCACCAAGTTGATTTCCAGACCTTACAAGTGGGGTTGCAATATCTCCATGTAAATAGAAAGTATAATAAATCAAGCTATATTGACTACTTCAGACTATATATGGAGTTTAGTCGACAAACACTGCCACAATACTCCCCCTAAGCAACAAACCCAATTAGTTGCTCCATGTGAAGTTTAAGAAATGAGCTGAGCTTATTTCTCGTGATATAGTGATATACTTTGAGTTAGCGGCCAAAGAACACCGGTGGCAGACATGAGTGGGGGAGATGAACAACAACAACAAAATACTAGCCTTCGAGGACATCACTGATAGCAAACACTCACAGAGACAAATAATGATTGGAACTCTGACAATAATGCAGAATGATGAACATAGAGAGGTCATGATAGTGGCAAGCAATAACAATCACGACAACTACAATCACCATTAATTACGGTGACAATAATTACAACACATACCCAAACTAATTCTAAATACTACTTATCTCAGCTCAAAGACATGATTCACAGCTCATCTTGTTCAAAGATAATGATGATGAAGACATCCTTTCTAGTTTTTCAGAGAAGCAATTAATGATCACACCAAAACAAACAATAGTAGACTATGATCAGGACAACATTGCGGAAAGAACACGGGGACGACAAAGGATAAACACAACAACACTGACATCAGTGACAATAATATTGACACAAATGACAACAATACCAACACAAATGAAAAAAAAAAAAACACAACGAACTGCAGGCAACCGAAACTATCGAAATAGATAAGCCAAACAGAACTAGAGTTGAATTAGCCAAAAAAAGGGTTGAACTGGGATTGATAACCATAAAACCAATACTGAACGGGGTTAAAAAATCCAAAATTGGCATTGAACCAGGCTGAAAAGGACTAAACTAGGATGAAAACTGCTAAACCAGAACCAAACTGGCCCAAAACCACTAAATCAGCACTAAACCAAGTTGAAAACATTGAACCGGAATGCAAACTTCTAAACCAACACCAAATTAGGTAGAAAACCACTGAACCAACATTAAACCAGGCTGAACAAAGAGACGAAAATAATTGGCAAACACACAGACGACTACAACTCGATGTATGTAAGGCCGACCCAACCCCTGGGCAATGAGGAGCTCGCCTGGTGCACATCTTGCTTTGATACCAAGTTGAAATTTTAATAATTGTATTATCCAAGGAAAGAAAGAGGAAGAAAGGAAGAAAGAGATTATGAAATAATATTTCATGTAGAATGTGTATTGCCTATACCTTTTCACCTATTTATATTTGATTGATGTTAAAGACACTTACAATATTAGGAAAGTAGAACACACTAGGAAAATGACATAATAGGAAAGTGACATACTAGGAAAGTAGAACAATAGGACAATAACACTCTACCGGTATTAAAATAAGCTTACCCCTTATATTTGCTGCCTTTCAGTTTCTTCTTTTAAATTCTCAAGTTCATACATATTGTTCTTTTGTATATATTGCATATGTTGATGTGTTATATAAGGTGATGTCATTTGGCAGTTGGGTGTCTAACGGTGTTGTTGGTTCTCCAGCATTTGCAGCCTTTGATCAAGGTTAGTCATTTATATCTTGTAAATACCTACTGTCCTTGGACCGAGTAATTGTTCATTTGTTTTCAAGGTACAATATTTTTGAGATGTAACATGATTTCGGTTCTCTTTTTCAGGTTATGATGTTTTCCTCGGGAATTTTCGTGGCCTGGTTTCCAGAGAACATGTTGACAAGAATATTTCTTCACAGCAGTAAGTTCGTATGAAAGGCCATGGTTATTTATATTATGGAACCATACGTTCTTGACCTATTTGCATTCAAAATGTCAAAAAAAAAAGTTCTTCCATTTTTCCTATTTTCCTACATTATTAGGAGTCAAATAGCAACCATGAAACTGACATTTATATCAGCTCAATATCTAAATGTGTTGATCAAATGCAGGTATTGGCGTTACTCCATTAATGAGCATGGGACTGAGGACATACCTGCAATGATAGAGAAGATTCATGAAGTAAAAGTGTCTGAACTCAAGTCTAGCCAACCTGATCTGGAGGAAGAAAATAATAGTGATCAGCCGTACAAACTTTGCACAATTTGCCACAGCTTGGGAGGAGCTGCTATTCTGATATATGTCATAACACGTAGAATTGAAGAAAAGCCCCATAGGCTTGCAAGATTGATCCTATTGTCACCTGCCGGCTTCCATGATGATTCAACCTTTCTGTTTACGGTGGTGGAGTGGCTGTTCCTGCGGTTTGCCCCTATCCTCATGCCCCTAGTGCCTGCTTTTTATATACCGACGAGATTTTTCCGCATGCTATTTAACAAGTTGGCACGGGACTTCCACAACTACCCTGCAGTTGGAGGACTGGTTCAAACCCTAATGAGTTATGTCGTCGGTGGAGACAGCTCAAACTGGGTTGGAGTGATTGGCTTACCTCACTATAATATGAATGACATGCCGGGAGTTTCATCCCATGTAGTCCTTCATCTGTGCCAGATGAAGCATTCTAAAAAATTTATAATGTTTGATTATGGGAGTGCAGCTGCCAACATGGAATTATATGGTTCTCCCCAGCCATTGGACTTGGGGGAATACTATGAGTTCATTGATGTTCCTGTTGATCTTGTCGCTGGGCGCAAGGACAAGGTGATCCGCCCATCAATGGTCAGGAAACACTATAAGTTGATGAGAAATGCAGGAGTGGAGGCATCATACAATGAGTTTGAGTATGCACACTTAGATTTCACATTCTCTCACCGTGAAGAACTTTTGGCATATGTAATGTCTCGTATACTGCTAGTTGGCCCCTCTTCAAAACAACAATTTGGACAGAAATCAGCAAGATTGAGAAGGAAAGATGTACAAGTGCGTGCTAATTGATGGGGAACGCAACCAATGTCTGAGCATTTAGTTTTTTGGTTCTGATGCTTCAGGAATTGGCATGCCTGTTTTCTATGAATGGTATGTTGTATACACATGAAAATACTGTAGTGAGGTGTGGAATAGGTTGTTTTCCGATTAGAGTGTTATCAGTCAGAGTTCAGTGTACATAGTGACTTTCCCTCCATTTTTTCAAGGGGTTAGAATTATTTGATGATATATCCAGTTGGGTGTGTAATCAAACTTGTATACTTCGTAGGAGAGAGTTACTGGTGTGATGATGGGTAACCCCATTGGGTCTGTAATCAAAGTTGTATACTCTGTAGGATAGAGTTACTGGTGTGATGAAATTTCTCACTTTGACCTCTACTGTATGGATTCAAGGTTGAATGTGGTAATTTGTCGTCTGCAAAAGTAATTTTACCAATGGACAATCAGTCACTGTTTGTGCATGTAATTTCTGAAACATTTGGCTTATTACAGTTGTAATTTCTACCCAATTTCGTTCTGCTTCAATTAGATTGTTTGTGGACAATTTTCATGTATATACTTGTCTCACTTATTCCTGTAGTGTAAATTAGTAATTCTGAGCCTATTCAAATTTCCGAGTCACACAATGGCTCCAGCTATTCATTGTATAGTATGCAGAGGTGTTAATAGCTTAACTTAAGGATTAGGCTGAGGGAGGGAAGGGGGCTTGTAGGGTTGTTACATGAACAGAGCCACTCGGACTGCTTTGGCTTATTCAAGTTTCTTAGTATTAGAAAATTTGCCAAATAAGATCAAATTTTTAAGTTCCATATTCAACTCGAGTCAAGCTCCAACTTGTGACGATTAACTTGGGTTTAGTATCAAAATTTGAAAAGCTTTGTTCCATTATCTCCCCAATATTGCAGGTAGTGATACTAGAACATTTACTGTCGGGCCTTGATATCACCAGCATGTTAAGTGTGCACGTTTAAGGGCTAGTCTTTGAAACGCCCAATCTTGAGTAAAACTCCACAATAGGTTTTTCCAGACTGTTAACTGTCTTTTAACTCGAGCACTAGGGGTAACACGTGCTTAAAAAGACGGTGCAATATGAATAGTTTTGAGAGTGATGTTGGCTGCTGTTGTATAAGTCTATTTGAGATGTGGTGAATAATTACATGCCATATAATCCTAAATCATTATTAGGCGTATAACTAATTTTCAATAAAGTGATTTGCCAAAGTTGGCCACGTGATTGAGTTTCTGTGCATATGCCAGTGTGAAATGGTGCTCAAGTCTGGGAAATCACAGGACTTAAACTATTCATGGTGGTTCGGACCAATCTTGATGTTGCTTCAGAACTGCAATGTGCTAGGTTTGGAAATTGTGATGGCGTGATGTAGATCTTGACAAGAGTAAAAATATTTACTTATTCCCTCAACGCAGAAGTTTATTCTTCTGTAAACTTGCCATGGATCACATACTGGGTGAAGAAGTGCCAGTGGCATCCCAGAGACAAAGAAATGAACCCTTTTTGATCTACTCAGATCGACAGGAACAAACATTAGGTCTGTGTTTGATAAGGTTCATATAGAAAGAAAACTGCTTATCTTTAGTTAGTTGAGCTACTTTGGTCCCAGCTGTGGCTTCAACCATTCCTTGGCACAGCATGCAGACTAACGCCTTCCCATGCTTAAAGTCAAGTGATAGTATGATGCTGATTAGGATTGTCAATTTTCGACACGACATGTTAACACGATGCGAATTGAACATCAAATTAATGGGTCGAATACAAAATTAAACAAGTTAATGGGTTAAAACAAATCAACACGTTTAAACACGAAAAAATAATTTCTAGTTCATGTCAAAATCAGGTCAACTTAGTTTTGACTTGATTAACTTATATATTTTAAATGGGTTGACATGATTCGGACACGAACCTAACCTATCCCATTGTAGATCTATTTAACCCGTTTATGACAGTATAGTTTACTTATTATGTATGACTGATGTGGTATTAACATTATTACTTATTAGTTCTTATTTCTATTATGATAATTGACAATATAGTTCTTAGCATTATTATGACAATATACTAATATAGTTCTTGTTTTAATTTTTGGGTTGAAACTTGAATGTATTTTAGTTAATTTCATTGATGAGATGTGATATATTATTTGTAAAAAAATTATTTGAAATTTAGATGAATGATTGAATAATATATTTAATGGTAATAAATTATTGTGGAAACAATTTATTTGTGTTAAACAGGTCTGTATTATGTATGTTGAACAAGTTAAACAGATCATATTATGTGCATTAATTCGAAAACGACTTGTTTATTAAAAGTGTCAAACAGGTCGGGTTTGGGAATTCGTTTAATGATCAGGTCAGGTTGGTGTTTACACATCTCTACACGATTATTAAACATATCAAGTTTAGGATTTGAGATTTTCGACACAAACTCGAAATCAATCCGACATGAAATGATCTAACCTGACACGTTTGACTCCACTAATGCTAATAGTGATTTTGTACCAATTCTTGACCACCTTGACACCTTAATCTCAAGGAACCCCACTATAGTATCATGAAAGCAAAGTGTCAGCTGTAACAATCATGATGTTGTCGCATAATAGAAAAATAGAAATTTATGAATTAGCAACAATCTCTTTTTATCAAGGGTGAGGTTTGGAACCCAGTCATTTTATACCTAGTGGGAGTCATGGAATAACATAGTTATGATTAATTAAAGAAAAAAAAGAAATGGATGGAATAGGACCTCTCATTGACCTACTTAACTCAATGGTTAGAGTCTTCCATACGACATTAGTTTACGATAGTTCGCGATCCAATAATATTGTGTGCGTGTGTGTATGTTGGGTTGGGGCGGAGGGGAAATGGGGAAGGATGAAGTAATATTCGTTATGTTACTTGAAAGGAAGTATGTTTGCTAGTTAGAGACCCTAGAGTGCATAACTTGGCGTTTGTAGTCGCTTTGGGGTGGATCAAGGATCAAAATTTCGTTATATTTTCACCATTTTTTTTTTGTGGAAGGCAAAATAAATCAGTAATAAAAATTTGAAATATGAAATCATTCAAGATGTTCTAGCCAATATTCCATAATGTTTTTGCATCATTTGAAATTTTAATCCTTGAATGAGACATTATAAAAGGATGGAGAACCTAGTGCGGTTGGTGATTATTCTCAACAATCATAACAAGGGGCCAGAAATGAATGGAGCATTCAAAGGGCCAAGATGCCTCTTTTGAGAAGGAATAGCATCAACCACCATGTTCTCAATAAGATTGTGAAATGGAGTGTTGGATGGGGCAATTTGGAACAAACAAGTAGGTTGATGACAAGCCTACATTCTAAAGGCTTTTACTTAAGACATGGAATAGGCTGCTACTGTGAATCAAACCCAAAGTAGGTGAAGGAGGAGGATGACTGACGATGTCAGCCACCAGAGATGTAAAGAAAGGGACTAGTTAGGTCCTCAAACCATCAATTGGTCCTCTAAAGCCTAAAAGCAACTAAAATGAATATAACAATGTGTGACTTAAGGAGTGACTTAAATTAATCTTGGCGAAGATTTTGAAAGTAGCTCAGTGTGGCTGAGGCTTATGTAGAACCATCTCCTCTTGTCACAAGAGAGAGAGAGAGAGAGAGAGAGAGAGAGAGAGAGAGAGAGAGGGATAGAGAGCATCGGGCCTGATCGTTCGTAAAACCTGCATGCTAATTGAAAAGTCCAGTTTATTTCCCAAGAGTAATCAAGGGTGAAAATTTGATGAAGTTTGTTAACATGTTTAGTCTAGTTTCATGTGCTTATTCCATAGGAATACATGGAAACTTGAGATAGAGTTCGACAATGATGGAAAATAAATCTCAAGTTCACTAAAAACTTGAAAAAGAAATTTACTCAATAGAGACTTGTGTATCGATTATTCAAATTGCATCAGAGAAGTTCCCAAGAAAGATAAAGCTGAAATAAGTTTGATTCCTTCCATTGCTGGGTTTTGCTCCAGCGAATTTGATGGTTGTTGCATCTGTGTAGGCTACTGCGGACTGTATATTTGGTGCTTGAATAGTTGAAAATCCTGGGTTCAAAACTGAACAATTAGCTCAGATTGACTGAAGAATTTCTAGTAAAAGATGATGTTACCAGAATCTCACCTCAGGATAAAGTGTTCCAATTAAGCGCAATTTTGTGTTGGAAAATGAGAGTATCAAAGTCTGTTGAGGCAATTTGATATACATGCACTGAAACCGGCAACCATAGCAAAGGGTAAACATTGGTATAGTCCAATTATTCTATAACATAGCCATTTTTTCTATAAAGTAAGTGTAGCTCTTATAAAAACTTTACTTGATTATCTGATGCTAAGTGGAAGCACATTTTTAATATGACACTCAGTCAGAGCCGTGTTATAATGATTCACCAATCAACATATGAGCATCTTGGTGACAAAAATAAAATCAATCAACTCATTGGCAAACTAAATATGGTTCTGGATAAGGGGCTAACGTGATTTAATGCTCAGTTTCAGAAATTCCTAATTTAACCATTAGACATTTTGAACCTAGTTAGTCAAGTTTTTTTTCAAAGTGATTATTGTCTACAACTGATTTTTTAACTTTACTAGATAAGAACGATGTTAAGAACACCATGAGAAGAAACATGCTTTTTTTAAATGTTATTTTAGAGTAGTGAAACTTACACAATTGCTCTTTTTTACATAGTGTTTCATCTTCTTTTTTTTTTCTCCTCACAAAATGAATTCAAAGGAACGATTTAATGATGATATTGCAGGTTTATACACAAGCAACTATTATTTTCAATTTATTATGATTTATTGTTTATGAAACGAAACAACATTACCTCTGTGCAAGTACCACTATGGTTGGAATAGCCTTTATGTAGTCATATTTTTTCGGGAGGGGGGGCATTGGAGGGTCTTTGAATGCGCCCCTTTCATGATAAAATAGTCAAATTATCTTTCTTTGGGTAAATAACTCGATATAGTACCATTTTGTAAAAAAAATTTTGGAAACAGCACATCAGAAAGATGGGTGAATGTAAAAGAAAAATATCAGCTTGCTGATAACTTACGAGCCTTTTTTCCTCCAGTTCATTGAGTTTTGTGCAAGGATTCATGGCATCAAAGATCAGATACTCCACATGGCCTTTATGAGGGCTGTTAGAAAATAAAGGGAGGGGGGGGGGGGAATCAGATGGTTATCAACCAACAAAAACTTATAACCATTAATATGGACAGACAGAACGGAAAGTTCTAGCATATTACATGTTGTTCAGGTAGTTCTGTGATATTAGCTGATCCATGTGCAGTGTAAGCGGCCAATTAGTAGCAAGCCTGAGAAATAAAATGAAATTTCTTTGGTAAAGATGTCTAATCTGATAAGGAAAGAAGGGGTCCCATTGGAGTTTTTCATCTGCACAATGAGAAACTAGTGTACATGTAAAGACAATGCAAACAGATAGAAACTGGCAATACACCCATGTTTGAAATGGAAGTATATACTCTGCCTTCTAGGATTGGGAAAGCATATATGCTAGATCTAGTTCTGTATGAAAAGGTACTAAACAAATGTAACTTTCTTTCATACAATGCACTGACAATATAAATAGACAGACTATATCCTGGAAATTTGTTTGACATACAGATGCATATTCTTTCTGCAGGAAATATTGGAGAGTACAAAGCGCAGCATGATGTCATCTTTAGATACACCAAACCAATGCTAGTATATTTGACATATGGGAAACTTAACCATGAGATGTATATGCAGAGGTCAAATGATTTACTGCATAATTTAATCATTAACTATTTCATTAGTTGTTTATATGTTTTTTGTATCTATCTTAACCTTGCAAGGGTGTTTCGACGTCATTCTACAAATTATCAGGAAAGATTTTTATTACTCCTTCAGGAAATGCTCCAAGGTGCACATTATAGCAAGAGCCAGGTTCTGATAATGCATTCATAAGTTGAGGGCTTAGGAACACTGCTGATAGAAAAATAAAAAATACGAACACTGCTGATCAGCAGATGTTAATACTGACAGGAGGAATTTAAAGTGAAATCATATTCATAACTGAGATATGGTAATGACTAGTATGGATGATACATGCAAAATCAGAAATTATATTTTTCCAACTTACCTCCCAGAATTAGATGTCTTCCTGTAGGCCTGTAGCAAGGGGAAAAAAACTGTTATGGGTAAACAAGAATAAATAGCCAAGTCTATTCTATTTTCTTGAATTCTTCATATAGATTAAAGGAACCAAAGGAACAACTCACTTTCTACATTTCTTATAAACAGCTTAAAAGTGGAAAACAATGTGTATGAAGGGTGTTCAAAAAATGACAATGGGGTGGACCCTGGACTATTATTTGCTTCATTCCCTCATATGGCTTTGTTTCTTTCTAGAAGGCCAAGTATCTTGTTTCTCACCTCATTCCTACAACTATCCATGCTTGAACATCCATGCGAAGTATTTTTATTTAACAAGGTTATCAACTTGTTAACTCATACCGTTTCCATTTAAACAGGTTATACATAGTTGTAATTCCGTTTATTGGAAAGTCAAATATTTCATCTAACCAAGCATAATACTTCAAATCATGTGTCTGAAAACATACCACTAATTTACTCACAACTGCAGCTTGTCCACGGTCCTTTGAAGTTAAATATCCCTGAACACAGATTTTAAGACGGTCAACACCCACTCCAGGATCATAAGATCTTAATATCGAGGAAATCACTATCAAACTGAAGATGACAAGTCCTAAATCAACTACAAGGTGGTTTTAGCTTACTAGCATATTATTATATGCTAGTTGCTTTGAAGATATTGAGTAGACAAGGAAAATTGAGCTAAGTTCCTCAATCAGCACATAATAATGCAGTAACCAGTGAGTCGCGTGTGTGTGTGTCTAATTCACAACTGTGATACCTCCCATTCCTTTGTGTATCCATTTGGCGGTTCTGGCTGCACTCTGCTCATCTGTGAAAAGGTTGTTTTGTTGTCCAAACTATTGGCAGAAGACTCAATTTCCCCTTGGAATCTTTCTGATTTCTCCATTGCAGGAATTACAATTCCTGACTCATTTGTCATACTCAGTCGACTGAAGGCAGTAAAATGTTTACGTTTCTTGCCGTTGACATCTTGCTGCATTTGTGCCCTTGAAAAGTGTTCCTGTATCATGCTAGGAGATAAATAACTGCTAATCATGCGACCTTGAAGATTTGCTAAACGCTGTGATATCTTTATATTTTCGTAAAAGTTTGAAGCTTCTGAAACAGATGAAGCAATCCTGGTGTTATGTCCACCTTGTTGATCCTTCCCTAATGATATTGATTTGTTCCTTGATTGCATGGTCTGACGAAGATTAAGTGTAAAACAACCCACTGTGTGAATCACTGAAGGTTGTGAAAACTTCAAGTTTCCAGATATGTTAGAATTTAATGCAGCACTTGAACCACTATCTGCATATTGTGCAGTTTGTGGTGTCGTCAAGACTGTGTTCGAGTTAACTGTTAGTGACCACATTGTCTGATGAGAGAGCTTATTTCCTCTCCTGATTGTTGGAGATGCAGGACTTCCACCTGTTCTTACGGAAGTTGGATTCATCACTTGATGTGGATAAAGGTTACTTTGGAGGCTTGCATTTTCTTCTGCATGATCTCTGGGAATTACGTTTTGTGACAAAACAATTCCTGCTGGTGTAAGTTCCACTTTAAACTCGTCAAGTCCAATATGTTCTTGAGAAGTGAAAGAGTGCGAAGATGTCAGCACGCTGGGAACTCTTTTGTAAGTGTTATCTGGATTATTTGAACACTCTGCAAATGCAGACCCTGGTTCGTTGGACATTGCAGCATTTGAACCCTAAAAAAATGGCTATTAATGGCGGCATTTTTCCCAAAGAAAACACAAAAATAAAAGAACATCCCTTTTTTCACATAATACTTATGAAGCAAGGAGTTTGATGACAACATAAAACAAGGAATAAGAAATGATATATGCTTCAACAAGGACAAGCAAACAAATAGGACAATGGATGGGATAGTTTACCCCTTCTCGTGCACTAGTAGGGACATCTATTGCAACAAATTCTGTAGCCGAAATTTCTTGCTCACTTGGTGTGTGTTCAATCTTTTTTTCTCTTAGCATCATGATGTCAACACCTGAGAAAAAGAAAGTGGTAGTTAAGTGTTCTTGAAGAAGATACATAACAAGCCATATAGAAGTATTATGTTTTGTCTACTAATTTTGGGATCCCAACCAAACATTTTCTTTTCACATCCTTGTTATAAAAGAGTTTACCATCCTCAACACTTGTCTTTCCTTTTTCTGGTTGTGCAGTTGAAGTACAACTATTTATTTCTTGCTGCTCAGTTATCATCTCATCCAGTATATCCTGGTACATCTCTACTTCATCAACTGAGAAAGAAAAGTTGATTATAAGCATTCCACAAATGAGAGAGAAAATAGCATACACAATGGATAGCCAAACAATCTACTCATGTTTCGAAATGTTTACCATCATTCCAATTTTTGCCCTCTCCATTTGGTAATGCAGCTGTAGTTGGAAAGAAAGCTGTGGGAATGTCTTGCTGAGTCGTCGATGGTTCACAGAATATATTCTGGAGTATCATCATATCATCATCTAAGAAAGAAAACTCAATAGTAAGTGTCCCACATAGTACATATTGCATATACATCAGCAATAGGATATACAAATGTATGGCCGTAAAAGATCTTATTTCTGAAGTAGGTCATTTCAAAGAATGAAGAAGCAGCAACAGAAGTGGAAGGCAACAATAAAGAACTGATGTGTAGGATAGAATCAGGTTATGAGCCATATTATATATCACTTCCTTAGTCATGATGAAGACATTCTTTCTTATAATTAGACGGGAAAAAATAGTAATGTTAAAAAATTGACACAAAGGAGAAGCAATGGAAGGTTAGACCCAAATCCAAGAACTAGAGAAGATGAATCCATCCATCAGCCTACCAGGTCCATTATTTAACAATACCCCAACCATTTTCCAAGCTCCACACACAATCACACACAAAACAGGGTAATAACAGGATTGACATTGGTCAGTAAAAGAATTATTTGGACAGGACTGCCTCTTTATATGGACAACCGGACACTAAGGCACAATTGTTCTAAAATTTGGTAGTTCCATAGAAATAGGGGGAAGCTTAAAGTGGACGGCATCCAAACAATAGAATCAGAAGGGTGGAGTGGGAAGTGCTTTTGGAGTTTCATGATAAGGATATAAACCTGTCAACAAAGGCGTTAATTCAAGAAGATGCATCCTAGAAGTAGACCATGCTTTATTGTATATAATTCTAGAGAGACAGGAAACATGTCGGTGAACTGATTATAATTTAACATTAATACATAAGATGGATGAGTGGACTGAGAAGATAAAACACAGATGGAATCAATGAAAAGAAGATGAGAGTTTTCCAGCAGATAAGATAGACCATGTGCAACAAAGATCAAAAATAGAGAATTGAGGAAGAATAGAGGTGAAAGTCTAGAGAGCAACAAGGAGAAGCGAAAAAACCATGAGACTTTGAATTCAAGGGTAAAGACTGTCATGATGGCATGCATTTTGATAGATCTGAATGATGGAATGGAGTTCTTGCATTTGACCAAAAGACTCCAGGATCCGGCTTCCAAGCCAAGCTTCTTTATAGGGAGGAGCATTCGCAAAGACTTCTCCACAAAAAAGGTTTTAAAGCCATTTTTCAGCTATGCTGTACCATTATAGTATCAGTTGATAATGGTTATGACAGAAGGGAAGATGATAAGCACCACAAATAAAAAAGATATTACTAGATCCTACTGGCAGTGTGATAGAACAAATTAAATAGCTGTTTCAAGTCACAATATCTAGGTTGAAAAATTCTCTTCAAAAAAGATATTATCAATGATTTTTCTTTTCTTTTTGTCTAAGGTTTATGCTAATTAAGGTCACATCATGAAACAAAACCCTGATTAAGATTATTCTGAATAATCAAACAATGCCTATGAGTTTTATCATGCCAAAATATAAAATGGAAGGCAAAATAGTAGAAGCAATTGGATCCATGCATGAGCAACCTGTTAAATTCCAAGGGAGTGAGAAGTCACTGAGCTGATTGAGAGCAGCATGAGCCGCCCCAAAATTCTGCGAAAGTAGGACAAGATACTGAGGATTCTTAGCATCTCTAGCACAAAATTCAGTGGCCTGGTGATTTAAGTTTCCCTACAATCAGAGAATGGTGAATCAGCAGCTTGCTCAACTGCATTTAGTAAAGGAAATGTGTGTTTCGATGTAAACCATTCCAATTCTTGCTAAGCTAAAACCGAGCTTATTCTAGATTAGTAGAGTGTATGTCCACAATGATCTTAAAGTATTTTTGCATAACATTTTTGGTTATAATTATGTAATCTGTAAATAAAGTAAGCCGAGCATGTTGCAAAGAGTTATGCACAGACAACTAGAATTATCTGCATTAACTTATGTTATTGAAGAAAAATCTCTCGGTGGTTGGTGCAGTTACCTAAAAACTTCTAGTGTATGACTTAGATTGGTCTTGGCAAGTATCGCTTCAGTGGTTTATATTCTTGTCTTGCATCCTCATTCTTTCACAATTGACTTACTAATGATACATTCCATATATAGGATATGAACTGAAAGTAATGTGGAAATTTCACTTAAAAAGGCTTTGCATACATTTTAGAATACAACATTAAACTAGACAACATTTTCCTTGCATCTAACACTAAATTTTTTTTTTATCACAATTGCTGGAACTATCAACAGCAGGAATTTTAAATGTCAAGGACTCAAGAGTCGATATACAAGTGTGAGCAGAAATATGGGTGTGTTTAACGGGGTACTAATTAAATGCTGGACCTTCAATATAGAAAAAGCGGATAATTAGCAACAGGAGTTGAAAATTGTGGATAGTTACCGCATTATATATAGCTCTGAGCCTTGGGAACTTCTTTGGGCAAATTACAGATAGAGAAACACATGACTGCAGGACAAAAAAAAAAGTTGGCTTAATTAGCATGGAAAATGAATACAAAAACAAATACAGCATGACAAATTAGGTAGCATAATCACCACCAAAATTAAATGAAAAATAATTAGTATGGCAAAACAATACTAGTCTTGCCGCATTACCTCAGCAAATAATCCAGCAACTGTCTCAGCATCAGCAAGATGGCACTGCACCCTTGCTTTTGAAATTTCCCCCTCATCCAAAATTTGGATTTTTGGCAGTAGCACTGGTCTAGGAAAGGAGAATGGGTTGCTGGCAGCCACAAGTAAGCAGTGCCTTTGACCACATTGCCAAATATGGCTTCCATTTAGATTTAGTGGGAACAGCTGGTTGATATATGGCACATATGTCTTAATTCCATACTTGGGGTATATAAGAGAAGCCAATGCTATTTAAATTTAAAGTAACTTACTGTATTGGAAGATATCTACACAAACTAATCCAAAAACAAACTACGGAAAATTTCAATGACACCCCATCTAGTTTACCATATCTTCAAGAACACCCCCTCTAGTTTTTGAATCTTCAATGACACCCCTTCTAGTTTAATTTAAACATCACTAACACCCTCTACCATTAAACTATTATTTCTAACAAAATAAATTCATCTAAAATACCAAAAATGCCCCTACACAACCTCAAGTAATTATTTTACATAAAATTTTATTAAAATTCGAGCTATTAAATTTTTTAAAAAATCATAAATAACAATTTTAGTTAATAATTTGTTAGTAAATACTAATTTTTTATTTACTAATTAGTAAATTTTTTTAAAAAAAATCAAGCCTATTAAATTTTTTTTTTTACATATTAAAATTTGAGCCGATCTGAACTCTATCCGAGTTGTTAGGGCCGATTAAAATTCTCTTTCGAGTCGATTATAATTTATATTTTTTTCTTATTAAAATTTGTGTCAATTAAAATTAGATTTATTAAAATTGAAGTCAATTAAAATTCATAAATATTTATATATTAAAATTTAGGCTGATTAAAATTCAATGCGAATTAATTAAAATTTGATTTGAGTAGATTAAAAATAATTTTTAATTGGCTTAAACAAAATTTTAATTAGCCCAAATTCTAATAAGTTAAAAAAATATAATTTTTAATTGGCACAAATTTTAATATGTAAAAAAATAAATTTTAATTAGCTTGAATCGAATTTTAATCGATTTGAATTTAATTACGTAAAAAAAATTAGAAAACAGAGGGGGTCTTATTGAAAATATACTTATCTAAAGGGGGTCTTATTGAAAATATGTTTTTCTAGAGGCGTGTGGATGAAGTTTGTCTTCAAATATATCGTGGGCAATTTAATAAAATTATATCCTACTTAATATTTTTAATCTGACAAGGGGTGTTCTTGAAGATTCAGAAACTATAAGGGGTGTCCTTGAAGATATGGTAAACTACAGGGGGTGTGGTTGAAGTTTTTCCAAAAAACTATTTTCTTTTTTGTAAATTTTTAGTATGCATCAAATGGAATCTAATATAAACCTTAATGCAAAATAACCAACACAAACTTACAAGATAGATTTCAAATCACTATTAGAGAATTTGTCAGTTCCGCTCGAAAAGACATTGGAGTCACTACTACTGGATGGTATCACTAATGTATTTAGGTGAAAAAGGTCTGAAAAAAGGAAAACCATAACCTGCTGTGAAGAGGGCATCATAGATACCACTGGATCAGAATGTCAATTCTCTGTATTCAGATATGGTTATCCAGGAAAATTGTGTTCTTTTAGCAATAACAAGAGTTTGCTAGATGGCCATAACTAGGAAAAAGTCAAATATTACATTGTCAAACCAAGGACTTTTACCCACAGACATAACTTCTGCACCACTTAACAAACGGACAGGCATCAGGTAAGGGAAAATAATTATTCAAGGCATGTTAATGAACACTGTCTCTCCCTCGTTAATTTGTCAACAAACCAGTTATGATATAGTGATCACTTAAAAATTGATACCCTGGCCAAGAGATGAACTTTTCATCTTAGAGAGACTCAAACTCGTTCTTGTTAATCAAGATCATAATATCATAACTATTTATGGAATTATTTTTTCATATCACCTGATGAGTCCAAAATTGATTGGGCCAAGCCCAATTAATTTAAACTGAGAAAGCCCAATCAAAACTAGGTCAACCCATCAAAAAGAGTCTCAATTACCGGAGCTTAAAAGGAATTGGACCTGCTCACAAGTTAATGAGTCAAGTGAAGTCCAAGCCAAAGGCCAACGCCCATGGTTTGCCTCCCTGTCCCTCTTCTCCACTCCAATGAAAGTTCAAGTCCAAGTCTACATCACTCCAAGTTTAAGCTCAAGATCAGGATCAACCCAGCTCAAGATCATCCTCCGACAGAATAGGGACACGAGCGAGAAAATATCGGGATGCGGAGATACATTCTTATTAAGGTTATACTTACCAAGATAGTGGAAGACCCCTTCCTCACATCACCGCCTCACCACATTGGTGTGCCTATATAATGTAAGTCTTCTACATGTTAAGGACAGACTCTCATAGTCTTGAGATTCCTACACACACTGCTCCCTTTCTCTCTCTCTCTCTCTCTCTCTCCAAAGCACTGTAATACTCCTAGAGAATACTTACTCCGGTGACTTCACTCATTAATAAAAAGGTTCAGGCCACCCTGCCGTTCCTGAGAGTGGAGTAGGTCACCCCGAAACGAACCACTATAATTCTCTGTGTTGTCTCCTTATTTACAGCTTTATTATTGATTGTTTTATTTATTGCTCATTAACTCCATCCGTTCATACACTTGACTGTTGATTTTGCACAAAAACCAATTTGTGTATCATCAGTTTGATGCAGTCTGTGGAACCGACTAGTTTTCCTACTCTTTTGATCCATGGCAATGACTACCAGATCAATGAGCCAATAGCTGGGAGATAATAACCCGACCCACCGGGAGGAGGCTTCGTCTCCCCTTGCACCTGTAGAACCATCTGTTACTACTACTCTCGCCACTGGACAGCAGCAACAACTCCTCCAGACCATGCAGTGCTGGTGAGCCAGAACCATCAAATCATCTAACTCATGTTCTCCCAAGGAGGCGTCACCCCTTTCACAGGAGGAGTCCCACTCCCCCCACCAGGAAAGGAGCAACTGCCTATCCTTTCTAGGCGCCAGACAGCCCCACACCATGGGACCCCTCGCCAGAACACTCCAGGACCACGCCAGGGTGCCCCTCGCCCAGTCCCTCCTCCGCGTAGGGAGTTCACGAGCGTCCCATCCTCATGAACCTATGCAGGTGAACGAAGATAGAGAAAGTCAATGTGGAGACCATGAAAACCAATATCACCATCCAATGGAGGATGTCCCTAACCAGTGGGATGAGAAGATTATGGAGGTACAAAACCAACTTGGCGATACCCTCAATGCCATCAAAGCACTCGTCTGAAACGTGGACTACTTGGTAAGGTGCACCAATACCCTTTTCATTACTGATATCGTTAACTACCCTCTACCCTCGAAGTTCAAGATGCCCACCATCGAGATCTTCAATGGCACCAAGGACCCCCTAGACCATCTAGATACCTAAAAATCCCTCATGCAACTACACAATGTGCCTGATGAGATAATGTGTAGAGCCTTCCTTACCACCTTGAAGGGGTCCGCTCCCCAGTGGTTCTCCAAGCTCAAGCCCTCCTCCATCCGCTCCTTCACTAAGCTCAACAGGTCTTTCATCTCCCACTTTATTGGGGGACGCCGACATCAGAAACCAGTGACTCACTTGCTCACAATCAAGCACGATAGGGAAGAAAGTCTCAGAGACTACCTTGCCCGTTTCAATAAGGAGATCATCCAAGTGGAGGAGTCATATGATAAGGTGGCTCTGGCGGCCTTTATTACCAGCCTTCGCACCTCCAGCTTCATGTTCTCAGTCCTTAAGAAGCCACCCTCTAGCATGCCCAAGCTGCTGTCTAGGGCACAAAAGTATATGAATGCCGAGGACGTCACCAAGGCTCGTCGAGGTGAGTCCTCTCGAGGAGGGGAGAAAAGGAAAGACGACTAAGAAGACAGAAGGGAGGTGAAGAATAAGAGAAAGAGAACCGAAAGAGTCTCTGTCAAGAACCGTCTTGGTCCGTACCCCCCGAGAGAATAATAGTCTTTCACGCCACTCAACGTATCGGTGGAGCACATCCTATTCCAGATATAGGATGACTCCACACTCCGCAGGCCTGGAAAAATGAAGTTTGCCCCAAATTGCAAAAATCACAACAAGTATTGTCGCTTCTACCGTGACCATGGCCATGACAATGATGACTGCTATGGGCTTAAGAGGCAGATCGAGGAGCTCATACAACATGGCCAATTGAGACAGTACGTTGCTAGCAGAGGACAAGTCTTGCCACCTGGTCGGGACCAGGATGACAGAGAACGCTAACAACCCCTTGGAGAAATTCAGACAATCTCCTGAGGGCCAGGAAGAGGATACGACTCCAACTCTGCTAGGGAAACATTGGGTCACCTATGGGACATTAAACACCTGAAGATTTTATTTATCTTTTATCGTTTTAGTTTATTTATTTCGCTATTCATTATTTTATGAAATAAAACATTACGAAGATTATTATGTTCATAACTGTCGTTTTCATTTCAAACAACTTATGACCTAACAAAAAGATAGACAAAAAGAAAAAAGGCGCTTAGCACTAGGCGCCCAGCCTCAGGCTCTCAGCGGCAAGCGTGGCACTCAGTACCAGGCGCCCAACAACAGATGCCCAGCTTCAGGCTCCCAGTACCAAACGCCCATCACTAGGCACCCAGACGAGGGGTCTCACCCTCTCTATCTTGGGAGCCCCCATGATGTCGTCTAGACAAGAGATCTCGCCCTCTCTACCTTGGTCGCCCCAATGATGTCGTTACACAAGCTCTCCACCTTGGGAGGCTCCCATGATGCCTAGATGATAGGTCTCGCCCCCTCTCACTGGGGGTCCAGCTCCTCAACGCTCTCCTCATCTCCATCTCAATAGAATAAGTCTCAGCTCGTCAACTCCCTTCTCATCTCCATAGAATAAGTCACTGCCCTAGTAACTATCTCAAGTGTTACTTGAAGGTCAGCCTCTATATAGGAAGCCCTCTCGTGCTTTAGCCTCAACTGCTCAACGACATCCTCTCGTGCCTACTACTCGAGCCCTACTTGCTCCACGGCATCCTTTCGTGCCTGCTGCTTGAGCCCTATTACTCCATAGCATCCTCTCGTGCCTGCCACCCGAGCCCTACTTGTTCCGCGACATCCTCTCATGCCTGCCACCCGAGCCTTACTTGCTCTTCAGCAGCTCCCGTGCCTACCTCTCTGATATCCCAGAGGTCATAGACCTCCAAAGCTTCTCGTTGACCAAAGTCAAGTCGAAGCAGGACAGCTATGTGGAGCTACAGTCTCCATAGAAGACTGCACAGAAGGCTCAACTCCTAAAATGAAACTAGGGCTAGCTTTGGTATACACAAAAGTCCTAGTCTGGGAAAGAGTAGGGGCACCACCGGATCTCGTTCTCGGGAAACAACCTGACCATCGGACCTTGGCCAAAAAGCATTGGGGGCATCAAACCTTATCCTCTTAGGAGGAGGAAAAGACACCACCCTAAAAGCGCAGAGAGTCGCTACTATCGCTCTATCAACAGGCCCCCCTATAATTAGAGACAAGGTCAGTTAGTGACCAAAGCACTAGAGAAGCACCACTCATAGCAAGACTCAAGGTGTCCCCAAAACATAGTAGCACCTAAGGCCTCCTAACGTCACGCAAGGCGCCCTACCAACTTCTTGGCTTCGCTTAAGGAGCCTGCCCAACTTCTGTTGTCTCTCAATACGCCTGCCCAGCCTCCTGACGTCGCCCAAGGCACCCTACCAACCTCCCGACGTCACCTAAGGTGTCTGCCCAGTCTCTTCTTGTACCTCCCATCTCTCCTTTCGCTCGGGCTGCTGAAGGCGAAGCTCGTTAAGGCCTCGCCCACAAGGATGCCATTCTCCTCTCATTGCACCGAAGTTCTACCGTCTTCAATCAAGAACCCAACACCATGGTCTCTTCCTGGCTCCATTGACCAAGTCTCTGGTGCCATCGACGAAGACCCAAAAAAAAAAAGGGTTAGCGCCCAAGAGGGCAACCCCCAACCAGGCCAAGAAAAAAAAAGGGGGGGGGGGAAGCAAAGGGGCGGCGGCCAAGCAGCCAAGGAGAAAAGAAAAAAAAAAGAAAAATAAATAAATAAAATTTATGTGGGAAGCAAATGGTGGCGCCCAAGCGGCCAAAGGAAAGAAAAGGAAAAAAAAATAGGAAGGAGTCAGCGTCCAGTACACTGCCAAAGCAAAGAAAAGGCAAGAAAAAAAAAGAAGAGAAAGGGGGAGAGATTAGAGGTCAGCAGCGCCCAACAGCCAAGACAAGAAGAAAAGACAAAAAAAAAACAAAAAAAGAGAGAGAGAGAGAGAGGGAGAGAAAGAGAAGGGGAAGGGCGGCGCCCAGTAGCCAAGAAGAAAGAAAAAAAAAAGAAAAAAGAAGAAGAGGAGAAGAAAGCCCATGTCCAGCCCAAACCAAGAGAAGAAAAGAAAAAAGAACGAGGGGAGGAGGGCCAGCCCAACAAGCCAGCAAACCAAGAGAAGAAAAAAAAAAGAGGACGAAAAGTCAACAAAAGGGGCGGCGCCCAACTAGGCCAAGAAGGAAGAAAAAAAAAAAAAAGAAGAGGAAGCAGCAGCAGCAGCAGGTGTCGCTCAGAAAAAAAAAAAGAAGGCAGTACCCAAGAAAAAAAAAATTCCGACTCACCCACATAGAACGAAGCACATGCTCGCGACCCCTTCCTCTCGAAAAAGTTAGAGGCTCGGGGCATGGGGGCAAATGATGAGTCCAAAA